CATGAAGCAAAAATGCAATGTCACCATACCGCTGACTGAACTTCTGTTTCCGATCATTCTTCCAACTATCTCAGATGTCTCGAAGTTCTTTGCACATTATTCTGTTTTAGGCTGATAGAGGTGTAGCTAACCAGCTCTGACACATAGCTTCCTTGAAGACTGTCTCCCTTTTCCTTCTGAGTCTTCTCGGACCATAGTCGTACCTCAGGGTTTTTAATCTCTTGTATTACAACACCTTTGTCCATGGATTCAGATTATTCGAATTTTAACAAACACGTTTTAGTGGATCAATGACTTCTTTTATGATGCAAGTGATGAAAATAAAATAAAATAAAATAAAAGAAAGATGAAAAGAGTTAGTGAGGTGAAAAAAAATAATAAAAACGATCATAAAAATGAAAGTCCTACCCCACATGATATCTACCCCACATGCTTATTATTCCTACCCGGACATGATCTCTATCCCGCATGCTACTTTCAAACAAATCCTAACCGCATATTTGTCTAGTTCGCATGCTTTGAACAGAAACTAAAGCAGGAAACAAAGCAGCCTAGGGTTTGGAATGAGGTTTTGGGGTGGGCTCTAATTCTCCATGGTCTCCCGGTTTAGGTGCTAAAAAATGGTACCCGAGTTCTCCTTGCTGGTGCCCCCTTGGGCTTGCCAGACCCTTAGCCCTAAACCCATCACAGGCTTGTGTGGACTAAGTTAAACTCGAGAGGAAACATTCCCTTATGCCCATACGGAGAATAAATTCACACGAAGGCATAAGGTATATGAATCCCGAAGGTTACTTGCTAGGCCCATACGGAGAATAAATTCACACGAAGGCGTCGCTTTCACCCCCACTTAAATAGGGTTCGGAGCTCGGGTATAGAGCATTTAGATGAAAAATCTTTAAGGGCTGAAATCATTAAAAACGGTCAGTACAACTATTTACTTCGAAAATATAATCAAAAGTAAGTAATAAGGATCGAAATGTTACCTTAAAATTTAAACTTACCCTTTTCATTAAAAAGATAACTGGAAATTACCTTAGCCTGACTCACTTACCTGTGTTCCCAGCGGAGTCGCCAAGCTGTCGCAACCGTGAAAATGTTGGGCCCTGGAATTGGGCTTCGACTTGAAAAATGTGGATTGGAGTCGCCACCGATCATTTATTTAAAGATAAATGGGTTGATCGGATACCCTATTTCTTACCTGATCTGCGTCTTACCAGAAATATGTCGGGCTCGGGAGTCGGTTACGATCAAGGAAGGATTAGCACCCTTGAACCGCCCTTTCGGTACTACGTAATTTCCAGTTGTCTTAATTAAGAAAAATAACAAGTTAAATTAAAAGATAAAATAATGATCCAAAATTACTTACCTTTGACGCATTTACAAATATACCCTTTAAAAGTCAAAATATGGGTTAGAAGAGATGAATAAATGATAAATAAAGTAAAATAAATAAAATAAGGAGATTAAGAAAGAAATAAAGTAAATATAAATGAATAGAATATATAAAATAAAAAAATAATAACACTAATATATGCATAGCAAACAACTAAATAAAAATAAAATGATAATGCAAATGCAAATAAATAAATAAAACAAGTAAAAGAATATAAAAATATAAAATATAGGATAAATATAAAAATAGATAAATAAATGAGTAAAATATATAAAAAAGTAAAAGCATATATATAAGTAAAATAATATAATAAAAAAAGAAAATCAAAGTAATATACGTATATACATGCAAAATAGGAAATATATATATATATATAATAACACTAATAAAAAACATATATACATATATAATAAAATTAATAGAAAGTAATATGCATATATAACAAGAATAATAAAGTAGGAAAAAAATGATTTAGGGGGAGAATTAAATATTTTAAAAAAATGAACACGCCTCGGGGGTGGATCTAGGTTCGAAACTTCGAAATCCCACCCCTTTTTAGTCATCGGTGCAACCCACGTTTTGGGTTATTCGAACCAAATCTCAAGAAAAATAACATGCACATGCGAGAAATGAACGAATCAATGTAAAAAAAGATGCTACCTTTTATTTCCTTTTCGAATCGTTTACAACAACTTTGCCTTTGTATTTTCCGTACTTTCCTCTGTGTTTTGTGTGTAAATCGTGTGTTACAATGGTGAGTTACAATGGCTATTTATAGTGCTTGTGGATCATATCTTTAGGAATTTAAATCTTAGTAGAACTCTATCCTATTTTTAGGAGTTTGAATCCTAACAAAATGTTATCCTATTTTTAGGAGTTTGAATCCTAAAATTCTATCCTATTTTTAAGAGTTTGAATCCTAATAGGACGAAAAATGTGCGTTGACATCATCGTTCCTCGTTACTCATATTCAAAAAAATTAAATTAAATGAATTTCTGAACCAAGTGAATTCAATTCACCGACTCAACTTGCAACATTTTCCCCAAATTTTTTTGTCATCTTTCTGGAAAAGAAAACGATTACAATAATGTTATTGAAGATGGATTGAGATGCAAGAAAATTCTTTAATTTTCTTCATTCTCCAAGCTTTTGTAGTTCCTTCTCTACAATTGCAGTTCATTCTTCATCTGAAATATACCCTTCATCTGCAACCTCTGTGGGAGTTCCGTAGGATCTTATACAAAAGATATAATAGAACACATTGACAAGACCCAACCCTGTAAGAAGCAAATAGTAATAGTCGAAACGAGACTCGTTAAGGTTATCAACGACCCAACTAGGTTTCGTGTTTCTTGAAGTAGTCTCGTTCACAATGTTAAACAGAGCAGAGCCCAATAAATTTGCCACCGCCATTGACAGGAAGAACATGGAGTTACCGATGCTTGACATGGTTATCGGGAACTCCCGATGTAAAACTCAAACTGTCCCAGTGTATTCGACGCCGAAGCTATACTCATCGCAATAAACTGTGGGAGAAGCCACATCATTGACATATTCAGCGGTGCATTAGGCATCTTGGCATGACCCACGATGAAAATCTGGTGTTCTCAACAATTGCTGTGAGTCCCATGGTTATTACAGAGAGGAATAAACCGACTCCCATCCTAGTGTTGACACTGATATATACCTGTTTTCCCTTGATCTTTGATGCTATTGGGATTATCACACTCTTGTAAACAACAACCCTAAGCACGAAAGTGATGTAAACGATGTCGGTTAATGAGACTGCCGGCATAGGGAAGCCGCCGAAAACGTGTCGGTTCATGGTACTAGCTTGGAGCACTGGGGAACGAGTATTGGTTTCCAGCGATTGCGATTACGATCCCCGTACACCGTACTGGGATCACTTTTAAAAGCGCTTTAAGCTCTTCGACTTTCTGGACGGTGCAAATTCTCCACGGGTTTAAGGCCAATCCATTCGGGGCCCATCTCCTCTTCAGTGTTTATAATAATGCAAGCTTTGTTCAGAAACTTTGATCTGTCAATTGGAACGGTAATCTCGACTCATTTTCGTGATGGTAGCCGAAATTTAGAATCGGAAAGGGGAGGCTTCTTTTCTTATATGAAACCCAAAGAACTTGTGCGAAACCCGTAAAGAGGCTGGCGGTGGCTTTCTTCTTAATATAGAAGGGTGAAGCAATGTAAAACGCCAGAGTGGACAACAACATTAGGAATGCACAAGTACCATATCCAATATTCCATCCATAGACTTGTACAATATAAACAACAGTCAAACCAAAGGAGCCACCGAGGGATGCTGCAGCCGAAATAGCTCTCCAGGATCTTTTCATTCTTGTTGGTCAATTGATCGGCACCGAATGGCATGGAACAAGGCCTAATGCCACCTACTCCGTGTACTTGAAAACCAAGGCAGAGATCAGGATAGCCATGTGGCCTGCTGTGGCGGATTTGCGGCTGAGTTAAAGGGTTACAAGGAGGAGGCCTTGCCTGTGGCATAACGGTTGTTAACCATAAAATTGAAACTCCCTGAAACATTTAAGAATCAGCGAATAAAGCACCCAAAATTGGTGAAAGCTTGCCAAAGGTTGATAAGATTTTGGCCCCCGGCAATCGGCATATGATAGTTACTCTTCAAGTAAAGCGTCATTGATGGCGCCAAGGCATAGCTAGGCACTTTCTCAAGCAACTCATTTGATGTAGTACGAACATTCAAAAATCAATACTTTAAAGCCATTAGCACCAAATTAATTACAAAGTAGTATATATTATAAATATTTTAAATCATTTGATAATAAAAGTTCAATCACCCTAATGCAGTCATTAGTGTTCAAACCAGTAACCTCTAAGAACAATAACAATTCCTTTAACCATTGAGATAAATTAATTCGAACATTCAAAATTATATCTTAGACAAAAAGATAATAAAATAAAATATTTATTTTAGAATTCAATTTCGTGAGTGACAATAAAAAACTTGTATTATAATTGTTCAAACAGATGTCCACGGTGAATAAGACCATCATAGTCCTGATTCCCAAAGTTTGTATACCGTGATTTATAAAATTGTCTCTGAAATCTTGGTTAACCGCCTAAAACCAATCATGGCTACATACATAGTGATAATCAAGCATCCTTCCTCCCCGGTAGGTAAATTTCGGATAATATATTTGTTGCTCATGAGCTGTTATATTATATGAATTTGTCCAAGAACGGCATTAATAAAGGGACACCATTAAAACTTGATATTGAAAAGGTTTATGATAGAGTCGAGTAGATTTTTCTTTAGAGGGTCATGTTAAAGCACGAATTTCTTCAGAGGAACATCTGCAAACTAGACTTGGATGTTAAATTTTTAAGGTCTCCGTAGTAGCTACTAAAGGAATTCGAGCTTCTCAAAATGGACCAAGAGTATGTCACTTATTGTTTGCGGATGATAGTTTGGTATTCCTTAAAAATTCAACATCTGCGACTAGTCACATCAAATAAATATTAGAACTCTATGTAGCTTCTTCAGGACAATAGATTAATCTTTCTAAGTCCGTTATTTATTTTAGTTTGAACACTATTCTTGAACATAGGGATCGTATGACTGCCATTTTTGGCATTCAGACAGTGGACTCTCTTGGACATTATCTTAGGCTTCTGTTATACATTGGTGAAAATAAAACCAGAACTTTTGTCTATATGCGCGACAGAGTCATGACCAGAGTCACTGGATGGACTAAACGCTTCTTGTCCTACAGGAGACGAGAAGTCTTTCTTAAAGTGGTAGCTCATGCCCTACCTCAACACAGGGGCGTGGATGAGGGGCGCAAGGTGCGCGACCGCGCATGGCCCCAAAAATTAGGGGTTCGGAAATCGATTATATCTATCCGTTGTTACCATTAGTAAGCTTAAAAATAGGGGGCCAAAATCAAGTATATTTATTAGTTGTTGCCATTAAGAAACATAAAAATAGGAGCCCCGAAATCGAATATATCTATCAGATGTTGCCATTAAGAAGCATAAAAATAAGGGCCCCGGAATCGAATATATCTAGAAAATAGAGACCCCTTTATAAAAATTTACACAGGACCCCGACAACCTAGCCACGACCCTGCCTCAACATACTATGTCCTGTTATTTATAACCGTAATACATACTTAATGAGATATATGAGATTATGTGTCGGAATTGGTGGACTAGGAAAATATCAGAATGAGGATGGCCTCTACTTGCTTGGAATGCAATTTGTAAACCTAAGTGTGTGGGTGGTCTTGGACTTCGTGATCTTCGTTCCTTTAGGGTACGTTTGGTTTATGGAATGTTGCATTACTTTCGGGAATAAGATTACAGGAATGTAATATTAACTAATACATTACTGAGAATGTTACATTACTGTGTTTGGTTTGTTTGGCATTAATGTAAGATTACATTGTTTGGCATGAATGTAAGATTACATTGTTTGGTTGAAGGAATAAGAAATTATTGGAACGTATATTTTACCAAATTGTCCTTGTTCTATATGTGTTAACAAGTGGAATTCTAAATATTTAAATGAAAATATTTATATAAAAAATCATCAAAAATATATTTCTTTATTATTTTAAATTTATATACTTTTTAATAAAATTTATATATAATTTTTTATAAAATTTAAAAGATAAAAGGATAAAATAAAAGAGTAAATATATCATGTATTATTTTAATTATAAATAATATTAATTTTTATATTATTTATCTAAAAATATATTATCATTGTCTTAAAAAGTCGATTCGCTCGTCTAATTAAATTAGTGCAATGTTCTGATCAGGAGAGATTATTCAACGAAATTAAGGGAAATAAATTAAGTTTAAAGATATTGTTTTATCATTTAAATTTTATTTATTTATTTTAATTAAGTTTGTAAAATTTGACTTTAGTTAATTGAATATTTGTTGAGATACTATTTAAACCTGAGTGTAATTAAATATAATGTTACAATATTGATTGATTTCAACTTAAAAATAATAATTTAAAAAGAATTATAGTAAGAAGATCAAATTAAATAAAGTATAAATGTAACACCTCAATCTATGAGTTAAAATTTCATATGATATTTATAAGAGAAAATAACCTCAGTGACCAAAAATCCTAGATAATATACGATTTTGATCAACTTTTTTTGGATTTGCAAAAATAACCAACAAAAGAGTTGGTAAGCTCAACTACTCATAAACTCATGTTAGCAATAACGAATAATGAGCGCTTTGTTAAACCCACTCCACAATTATTATAAAATTTAACGCTAAAATCAGTAAAGAGAATGATAGAGGAGTACAAGAATCCGGAGGTTGTCTCGGTGGCGAGACGCTAACAATAACTCAGGTGACGACCATTTCAAATCGCGACATCGCCGTCCAAGTGGAGTTCTCGGAGGCAGCTCGGCCTGCTATCAAGGTGAGCAGCGATTGGGTGATGGAAGGAATGAAAAAAAAAAGATTTCATCATAACGCCTATCGTGATCACTGCATATTCATGGACCGCGGTGGCACCCTGTTGGAAGTTTTCGCCGAGCTAATGGGGACAGCCGAGTGGAGAGCTTCGAAGAGTACAACATATTACAAACATGGGGATTTTGTTCCTGGTTTGAAGGTGGATGGTATGGATTCTCTCGCTGTGAAGCAAGCTTTCAAGTTTACTAAAGAACATGTCTTTAAGAGTGGAGCAATAATTCTTGTAATGGACTCATGTAGGTATTATGGTCACTCCATGTATGATCCTGGAAATACCGATAGAACACGTGATGAGAGTAGTGGTGTTAGACAGGAGCGTGATTCAATTGAAAGAATTCGGAAGCTAGTATTAGCACATGACCTGGCTAATGAGTAAGAGTTAAAGGACATCGAGAAGGAAGTGAGAAAAGAGGAGGACGATGTAATTGAGCAAAGGAAAGTCCAATGCCTGAGCCTTCAAAACTGATAAATGATGAAGAAGCAAATCACGTGGGTTGTAGGAAAAGTTTAATAAGGATGAAGGGTAAATCACAATAGGAGTCATCCAAGTTTGGTGAGATTAACCTTGTCTTCTATTTTTTATATAATTATGAATGTTGTCTAATGGTTTGAATAAGATTATTTTGGTCACTTGCCTTGGTAGCTAAGTATTAAATTGGCCCTTTGAGTTCTTAATTTTTTCAGTTTACCTCTATTACAGAAAAGATTTTTAATAAGATATTTTTATGGTTAGGAAATTTATTTTGGAATTTAAGTTCGATATTTAAAGGTCCGAGTTCTTTAGAAAATATTAGAATCTAGAAATTGAGTTGGTTAGCTTAAATTCAAGAGTTATTGTTTGGGTTTTTGTCGACATCTTGAGTTCGATTCCACAGTCTGTTTCGCCAATTCGAGCCCGGTAAGCTATTTTTCATTGATTTATCATCTGATTCGATCCGTTTTTCAGAATTAAGATCCGTTTTTGATGTAATTTTTGTTGATATGGATCCGTTTTTCAGAGTTATTATCGAATGGAATTTAATGGTCGATCAGTATGGCACAGAAATCGAGGTAATAATTTACTACCTCTTTTTGCTTTATAGAACATGTTGGTATTGGTAAATGGATGAATGGAAATGTTTGAGCTCATATGTGTAATTAATGAAGTTCTATACTCGATACGAATGCAGTAGAAAGTAGGTAACTAAATATGACTCAGATGACTATTATAAGAAATTGGAGGACAGTTGGAATTAAGTGATAAAGGAATCAACCATGGATATGTACGTTATAATTTATCTCATTAAAAGTACTTGGATGATAAATTATGAGAATTTTGATTAGTAAAATTACGAAAATACCCTTATGTTGTAATAAGGACAAGAATTGTTCTTGGAAGTTGGTTAATAACTCTGAAAAGACATATTGATTTGATAAATTTACAGATGTGCATAAGAAATGCTAGTTTTGCTTGGAAAATTCGGTTATCCGGTTTTTAACCCCAAGAGGGTTTATGCACGATACTAGAAGTCTATTAAGGAATCATTCAAGATTTGAGAATGTTCCGAAAAGAAATTAACCATAGGATCTCTAAATTATATTTATTTTTGTTAAGAGTAAATACTGAAATTATCTGGTTAAGAAATTACGAAAATGCCCTTGAGATGTAAAATAATCTGAGTTGACCCTGAATGAGAAAGTACTTTGAGGATTCGTACTTAACTCGATTAAGTATGAATTTAATTGTTAAGATCATGTCTTTGTACAGAAAAATTCATGATATTCTGTTTGTTAAATCTGAGAAGGCACTTGACCCGGAAATATCCGAGTTATGAGTTAATACCTGAAGAACAATTTATCAGAGGGTGCTCTTTATCATAATTGTTCGAAGGGACTGAAATAGATGATAAATTGGAATAAAATATAGACATGATGGAAGAAAATGATGGAAATACACTGAATCAGTAAAATGACCAAAATACCCCTGTAATGGAAATGACTCAAGAATATCACCAAGCCAAGGAATGAATGGACATCCTCAAGCTTTAAAATGAATGGAAAAAAACATTGAACATAAAAATGACCAAAATACCATTATGACCTAGACTAATTAGATGTTGGATTAATTAAGGAATCCAAATAAACATGGATGTTGTACTACTCTTTGAAGTTATGAAACGCAACTTAAGCCGGTCAAACAATGCTATTGCTATATCAATACTTGAATGGCATAAGTACCACTTGAATGCTAGTTCGTATTCTCAAGTTGGGATTGATGATAATTATGGAAATACTCAGCTCAACTCAACGCTAGAGTGCATTCGATATTAAGAAATGGATATTTGTGAGATAAATCAATCACGAATACCAAAATGATTTTAGTATATGACCAAAGTGAACTGAACGAAAGTACGTGTATCCGAAACTCAGAAGTGTTTGAATTTCTCTAGAAAACTCTGAAGTAACCGGGATAGCATTAATTGCTAAAAGAACCAAGGAACCTTAATGACGGAGAATTTAGTAAGTAATTGGATGAGTCTGAAAATATAATAAACTTGTATGATGTACGGTCTCTATGGATATGAACTAAGAATCAAATACGTCATTATATTGTTGTAATGTGGAAAGAAAATAAAGATTATAAGGATGCTTGTTCGATTCCTTAAGGTATATTTAGCGATGATTCTGAAATGATTTATGGACAAGAATTGTTGGTATTATAGAGTGAATACCAAGAAGGGCTTGACCGGTCGACAGACACCAGTTCTGAGAGTTGTTCAGCTCAAGTTGTTCAGTAATCTGATCGATTGTCATGGATAGTAATTGCCCGAAATATTCGTTTCTCCTTTATCAGCTCAAATCACTCCGGTCATATCTTATTCGTACAAGTAACTCAGATGCAAAGGATTTTGGATACCCAGATTGGTTGAGTAATGAAATCACTCTCCATAAATCTAAATCTAAAATTCATTCGGTATAAAGGTTCCTGATCACTTTCCTGATGCACATGAATCATAGTGGAATTCTAAGGTATCAACATTAAATGGCTGATTAGATCAGTTAGTAATTGATTCTCTCCAATATGATCTCGTTCTTGGAATCTGATCAAATTACATAAGTTTCGTGTTATCCATACTGATAACTACAATGGCCTCTGAAAATACTTGGATCCTCTAGTGTGTTCCCTATGTACTACATAATTGTTTTATCTATTTAAAATAAGGTACACTGAAATCTATGGTTATTATTTTATGGATGCACCGACTTAATGGTGATGGCTTATGGATTTGTATTACGGTATAAATTGTATCTTGGAGATACTGATTTGTAAAGTACAGCTCTGATCAAGCTGGAAAATTTTTATGGACCTAACGTGACTCTTAGGTAGGCTCTACGGCCCTGAGATTATTTTCGGGTAGGCCCCGCGGCCCTAAGATGTGTTCTTAGGTAGGCCTCGTGGCCCCGAAACTTTCTTGGGTAGGCTCTCAGGCCCTAAGAAGTTCCCTTAGGTTAACCCTTTATACGATGGTTTTAAACCACTATGAGATTTTACTGAGATATTATTTGATTAGTGTATCTATCATGATTTTATCGTATTGTTGGAACACACTAGACATCCTATTCGACTTCATGAAAGCGTGATAGTATGAAAGGTTTCTTATGAACTGAGATTCATGACATCTACTTGATGAACTTCTAATGGAACCCCAGATTATTCCGCAACTGGTATACGTTTGATTAAATAAGGAAATTATGGTTTTCCATTTATCTGCATGTCCTTTAGCATCATCAGGTAGTTCTGTATTACTGAGCTTTCCGAAGCTCACTCTATTACTCACCATTGCAGGTTAAAAGAATTGTACCAGTGCAACTATCGATATCAATAAGGGAGTTCTTCCGGCGTTGTTTGCAGAGTCTGAAAATCTATTTTATTTCTGAATGTTGATAAAGCAATTATGGGTTATATGTTTTAATAAAAGTTTTAAATTTTCTGAGATTTTTACGGTGGGTCGCTCCGGTGGCCCTAATGTGACACTCCATATCGGATCGGGTTATCTGTATCGGTCTGGGTGTTACAATAAATTTGAGGAATTAAATTTAAAAACCATTGTTGTGAGAAAAATTGAAGTTACACGTTATAATTATAGGGGTTGAAGACATGCGGTTTAAATTTAGTAAGAATGGACTTAAAATTAAAGAGAATTTGAAAAAATAATGAAATAAAAGATTACATAATCAAATTAATTAAAGATTAAAACAATATTATTTTAATGTTCAACTCGAAATTTAAAAATTCAAGTAAAAATGTAAATTAACTCAAGTAATTCACTAATTTATCTCTAATAATTCAACATTTTGAAAAAAATACTTTCTAAGTCGAATCAAATTTCACTTTTATATAAGCGTACTAGGTTCAATAATCAAAGTCGATTATACATATGCACACACAAACTGCTAACAAACATTACTTTCCAGATGGTGGAGATTGAGAACAGAAGCCTTTTATGTATTCCAAAAAGAAAAATATATATATTCTCTAGACTTCATATGTACATATTTCATTGCAGGCTCTAACCAGAAAACAAACCCCCCAAAAAAACATATTTACATTTAGAGCTTCTCAAACCCTTCCTCATCGCCATCTTCCTCCACCCTTTGAAGCTCTCTCCTTCAAGTTTCCATCTTTTCCAAAAATGCAAATACATCATTAGTTACATGCCACTTAAACTCAGACCATCAATGAAATCAACGAATGAGACGATTATTATGTAAAACACAAAGCAACCAACAAAGGAAATGTGAGATACAATATGAGATGAATTAGTTGTAATGACACCTTCATTTGTATGTAAGTTAATGCTCTCTCACGCTTTATAATTTGAACAGGAAAAAAAATCAATTGTACCTGATCATCCGAACACCGCAATTGCTCTGCAACAAATAGTATGTTCTCAGAATCTCCCGGTTTCACTACCTTACCTAAACGTTTAGCTACTTAATCGTAGCTAATCATTTCCACCTTGAAACCGTTGCTCATGAAAAGATTGTCCATCCATTTCTGTGTACTAGACAACCAGACATGGGGGGTGTTTCCTAAATAAAAACAATATAAGTAATGAACATATACAAGCTATGGAAAACATAACAGACCTTGTTATCAAATTAGGTCTCTGTCAACCATGCAGGAAACTCTCCCAAGAAGAGTTTCTTGAATATTAGGTGATTCCAATGGAACATGAAGAAGCAAACATCTTCTCGGGATCTTCCCACCGATACCTAATTTTGTTCAAGAACATTCTCTCAGAACATGAACTACTTATACAACACAAAAACCAACCATATATGCAATAAAAATATCAATTGTCATAATTCCCAACACACAGAAAACATATAAAAGGACTTGCTTGTTTCTCTAAAATATATATCATACCATAAATAAACTAAGAAAAATAAGTTCAAGAGTCGGGCACCCACCATTCAGCTTGTTTTCTTTGTTCCTGTAATCCAACAGATTTTGGCCAAAAAAAGGTTAAAGCTCAAGACCACCAATTCAATTTGTCATTTTCAGTGCTGCTAACTTTATTTATCAGAAAATGAAAAACTTTTTATTTATATATAAAGATTTCTTACACTATAACCAATTTATCCAACCTAATAGGAAAACAAGGTTCATGATAATGAATGGCATATCTCACCATTCACCATACATCTTCAAGCACCAATATGATATAAATTAATTTAATTACTTTATTAACCAACAATCAAACTCAAATAATATCATAAATAGGTTAACAACCTAACAGTGATAAGCAAAAAACATTCCACAGGGAGTGAAAAGAATAATTCAATTAGAAGTACAGGCTTGAAAATTTCTCACAAAAGAAAAAAATTAAAACACAAACACACAAAGGGAAAGGAAACGAGAAAGCAATTAAAAAACATTGACCTCTATATTCAATTTTGTATTTTTTGACAGCAAAATGGGTAAAGTAATAAAACTCAAGCACACAAAGGGAAAATAACCCAGGAAGCAATTGAAAGATTTTTGTTTATGAAACAAAGTCTCAAACTTAAAACCCATGGCATGGAGGACTAAAGAAACCCTAAATAACATACGAAAAGCAACAAGCTTAGTTAAGAAAGCACGAAATTATGTACTTTGTGGACAACAAAATGAATAAAATAGGAAGCAAAGTCAAAGAAAGTATGAGTTTCATGTGGTTTATGGATCCTAACAACGGAACTTTTACTCACCACAAGCTAAAATCAAAAGCATGAAGGTCGAATTCAGTTTAATTTTCTGAAAATAAGGAAAAGAATCTAACGTAAAATAGGAGGTCGAAAATAGGAATCAAACCCAACATTAGGAAAAGATTCGAGAGGTTTTCGTTAACAGAAACAAAACCACAAAATATGGAAACCAAATAACATTATTGGGAAAATAAAAGAAAGAGAGTGGAGGATAAATCTTACTAGGGAAATCTTACTGGGAAAACCACGAAGTGAGGAGAAGGCTATTTTAGACAACGGGAAGGGAATAAGCAAATACCCAAGGGAGATGGGAGATTAGTATTCCCGGAAAAACAGTAATAAAAATCACTGTTGGTATTAGTTTTTTACCGGCACTTGGTAATGAACTCCATCCAAACGTGGGTATATTCATCCGGGGAAAAAAATTCCTCCCAGGAATAAAATTTACCGTGAATCAAACGGGGCCTTAATATTGTCATGCTAGGTAAACAGACATGAAGGCTTATTAAGGAGCTAGATTCACTATTTGCTTGCGTTTTTTGAGCCAAATATTATCATGATGGTGATGTTTTAATGCTAAAATTAGAAGCACGAGCTCGTATGCATGGAAAGACTTTCATAAAACTTTACAAGCGTTGTCCCCTACTATTCTGGCGAATTGGTTGCAACAGTACTACGCATTTATTTAAGGATAGATGGGGTGGTACAAAGTTAACAACTCTTATAGATACTTATATAGATTCGAGGACGGAAGACGTTGATGTTGGGACTTCATGCACCATGATCAACCGCTATGGGACAGGAAGAAGGTGATGGTTTTTTTCACGGCCCAGGATGCGGATACAGTGCTCTAAGTGCCAATAGCTCCCTGCTTCAATGACAACATTATTTGGGGTAACCACAATTCCAGCGTATTCAGTACGTTCAGCTTAGTGGTGGCTCTAGAAACTCACGCATTAGTCGGAAGCAATATCCAAACTGTGGAAATTAATCCATGGCAAAGTTGAAAATTCTTCCCAAAGCATGCATTTTCGTATGGCGATTGACTCATGGGGCCTCACCTGTTGGCTCTCGCGTTAGGAATGCAGGTTTAGGGGAAGGCCTTTGTCCTATTTGTCACCTTGACCTGAAGACTGCCATTCAAGCCGTCGGATATTGCTACTTTGCCAAAGAGGTACTTCGAAGTGTGGAAATCCCAGGTTCGATACTTAACTCTCAGTGCATGTCCCCTTTGCAATGGTTGGAATCTGCTTTGGCTACACTTGGTTTAGAGAATATTTCAGGATTATTAATGATTCTACAAGTGGTGGCTCTACATTCTAACGCTTTTTTTTTGGTTCCGAGTGTCCTGAGTTTCTTGTTAACGATATAAAGAGCGACTTATTCCTAAACTGATTTGTACCAAGTTTTTCATACATTTTTATTTTCTATATTTCGTTTTAGTTTTCAACTTTTTTTTCTCTTTTGCATTTAGAAGTAGTAAAGTGTGAAAGTGACGTTAAAATTTCTAAGTTTTTATATAAATACCAGTTGATCCTTTTAGACGTAGTTTCCTCCTATCTATGAATAGTAAGGGGCATTGTAAGTTCTATCCTAACAAAAACATTAAATCCATGTTAATGAACTAAAAAAGCAACATAGAAGGCACACTGAAATAAGCAACAAAGTACCAAGTAGCACATCTTTAACAATGCGCACTCAAGACTTTATTGTGACACATTTTTCCACTGGAATTACAAACGATAAAAAAAAAGACAGGAGGAAACGATAAACAAGGTCAAAGAGCTTCAAGCAAATCTTCAGCGGTGGAAACTTTTAACTGCCCACCAGTTTCCACGTTAGCAACTTTCACTTTAAGATCATCAAGCAGCAGAGCAAACCTTTCTGATCGAATCCCGAAACCTCGGTCCGAGCCACCCAGCTCAAGCCCAAGAGACCTGATGTAAGCTGCTGAGCCATCAGATAAGAACTTTACATGCTTGTTTTCGGGGTATGACTTCGCCCATGCCTTCATCACATATGGGTCATTCACTACAACACCACCCCCGCACAATTAAGGGCAGTTTCATTTTCCAGTTATGTTCTACTTAAATTTTAAATGAATTGAACAAGTGGAAGTTAGAAAAGTTTATTATTACCACCGAGTACGAAGATTTCACTTATGCCTATTGACTTCAATTCCTCTACCTTTTCAATGAAACCTGGAACATGCTTCAAGCTGCATGGAGTTGAGAAAACAAAAACAATATATGGGAGGAGTTAAGGACTCAATTGCAAAATTTCTATAATGTAGTATACTTCATATAATTCTATACGTGGTTTACCTGCACCCGGGAGTGAAAGCAACGGGAACTCCAACGAGAATGACTTGTTTACCGGCAGCGAGGGAGTGTAGGGACACGTTTACAATCTGGTGAGCCTCATCAGCATAAGAGAGAGTGCCATCGGGAATCGTATCACCGACCGAGATGCGTCCCATTTTCTGTTGCTGCGTTTTTTTTGTTCAGTGATCGATTCGTTGGTGGGGGTGAAGGAAGGGACCGTGCTGGGTTTGCATGTTTACATACTATCAATATATACACGAGTATATGGACAATAGAGTATGGACTAATAATTTGCAAGAAAATGTGGGGACTTCTGCTTTGTCCGTTTGCCTATTATCACCCATTTTCATCTTGTTTGGGTTGGAGAAAGAATATGTAGAAAATGATCCCTTTATTCTAGTCATTAAATAATTGGAATCATTGTTTTTTTAATTGTATTTCATGTACCTTGCTTTCTCGAATGATTCGAAGGGATCATTAATGCCAATTATGTATGGAATGTTGCAAACCGAGAAAGAATATGATTTAATGGACAATGAAAGCTATCTAAAACACTGTTTGCTGCAATAAACAGAATGCTTTCACAGACTGATGTTTACAAAATATATTATAAATACTTAGGCATCAAGCAGACAGCGGTAAACTGAAGACTCAATCAGCAGACTCAGACCAAACCACTATTTACTGCAATAAAACTGTGGTAATAAAAAAATACAGTATAAAAGAAGGTAAAGAATGGCGAATGGCAGAGTTCAGAGAAGAAATTTCACACAAATGATATTGTATGCATAAAAGATGTTAATATGGTTTCAGAAACTATATTTCGTAGTTACTAAACACCAACTCTATACTTATATGTAGCCAAATTTTAACTGCAACGGTAATTCCAAAAACATTCTTCAAACTAACAGCAATCGATCAGTATCATCTTCTGCAGTCCTCAAGTCCTTTAACCTTCGTTTGAATATTAGACAACTCATCTCCCCGTAAGACCTTAACCTCTGTTGCTTGTCGACCGGGGGGTCCATAAGCCCAGGCACAGAGGAGGTAATAGAATAGATTGATGAAACTCAATGTGGCAAGAACCCAATAGTAGTTGTCTATGCGACCTTTGTTTATGTTACTCGAGACCCAGCTGTCTTTACTGCCTTTTGAAGTAATGTCATCGATTATGCTCACGACAACACTAGCTAGCAAATTTGCCACGGCCAATCCAAGTCCAAAGAGGGCAGCAGCAATGCTAGACATGCTCTTGGGCAGCTCAGAATAGAAGAACTCAGTCTGCCCTATTGCAGTGAAGGCCTCGGCTAAGCCATTCAAGCAAAACTGTGGCACAAGCCACATGGCAGACATTTTCAAGACTGCTTGAGGGTTGTTTTGAAACCCGTCTCGAATTGCTTCCCTTCGTCTTGCATTCTCGACAATGGCTGAAACTACCATGGCAATGCAGGTAAGAAATAGCCCAATTCCCATCCTTAGTTTGACACCGATCCTTACTGGTTTACCCTTAATCTTTGATATCAGAGGGAGAATCGCACGATCATAAAGAATAACCCATAAAGCAAGGGAGATGATGTTGAACATTCCATAAGATCCTGCCGGAATCTGAAACTTTTTTGTAAGGTGCCTGTCCATAGAGCTAGCTTGAAGCACAGGGAATGTGTTTTGGCTTAGATTAATCGACATTATGATCCCTGTGGACCATAATGGTAAGACCTTGATAAGTGCTTTTAGCTCTTCCACTTGGTCTACCGTGGAAAGACTCCATGGATTTGAGGCCCAGCCGTCTGGGGCAACATCTTGTTCCCGGTTTTTGATGATGCAAGCTTTGTTTAAAAATCTAAGATCAGAACAGCAACAGAGTACTTAAAACATGTTAATCAAAAGATTCAAGCACAACACTTAAATCATAGAGGCTAATGTGATTAGGTTTGTACCTTAAATTGTCAGTTGGTTCAACAATATTTGAATCTCTCTTGTGATGGTAACATCCAATTGAGTTTGGGAGAGGAAATGACAGATTTCGGTTTTTATAAGCGACGACAAAAACTTGTACAAAGCCTGTAACCAAGCTCTTGCTTGCCATCTGCTTAATATATAAGGGAGAAGCAAGGAAGAACACAAGTACGGAGATCAACATTAAGATTGCTGGAACTCCAAAGCCTACTCCATATCCAAAGTGATCTTGAATGTAAACAATGCCTGTCAATGCAATTAGAACAGAAATAGCTGCAGAAGCATAATACCAACCAAAGAAGCGCTCTAGGACCCTTTCATTTTTCGGATTATCTCTTCGGTCCAATTGGTCGGCTCCAAATGCCAAGGAGCATGGTCTAACACCGCCAGCTCCAATGGAAATGAGAACAAGTGAGGAAAACAACAAAGTCTTCTGACCCGCTGTTGGAGATCTGCAGCTTTGGGTCATTATGTCACATGGTGGAGGCTTTGATTGTGGAACCATGGCTGTTAACCATAAAAGTATCATCCCCTAAAGAGTTTGAGGTCAGGATTATTCTCATGGAAATTCATGATAAAATAGAGCAAAGTAGTGGTTTAAGATAGTTGTATTCTATGATGAAAACATTTAAAATTAGGGAAATTCTTGATGATGTATTGGAAATGTGAATAATTTGCATGAATGTATAAATTTATTGGAATTAAGTACAAGTGTCTAAACCTATAAAACAAAATAATTGAGATCATACTATTTTTAACCAGACAGTCAAATGGGAAATTGTAATCAATACGAGAGTCTTCACACAGATCTTGTGGATTTGCAAACTACGAGTTACTAATTAACGGACCACAACTCCATTAGCAAATTTCTAAATGAAGTTAGAAACCAAAGAAGCACTGTTTCCTTTTGGCCCCGGGGGAGAACCCAATCATATGATTCTTAACCCAAATAGGACACCCTCCATCACAGGGATGGGATTGCACCAGGCTGGACCAGTGTTGCAAAAAGCTCTACGTACAGATTTTCTTCACTGGCCTTAATAATAGAGTCAGATAATCAAAAAGCAACTTTTGCACGAAACTGGTCCAGAGCTGATAGCATACGTTTCAACTTTCAATTATTGTTGTGCTTTGGTAAAAGTGTAGTCAGCTGTTATCAAGGTCTATCAAAGGAAACTTTAGCACCAAGTTGGTCCAATGGCTGATAAGCATGAAATGTCTATCCTCCTGGAAGCATTTTGGTCAGCACCTAAGATCCAAGGCGCAATACAGATCAACTAGAATAACCTAGCTAACTTCACTCCCCTGTCCTTAAGGAAAGGCGCTCTGATTTAGACTCATACCGTTTTCGTGCCTACATAAAACTCTATGTGAAAGCCTCTAAAAATCAATATTCTCAACTTTAGCATATCCCTTTATCTAAGTAGTTTTTATTACTCTGTGTGTGTACACCAGGAATAAAGAAGAACAAAAAGGCATCCAAACGGCCATGTACAACATTTTTTATTTAGGCTAAGTGAAGGAAACATTGAGCTTCGATTGTGAAGCTACCAAAAATCACATTGATCTTTTTACATTTAATTTTCTTAAAACTCGTGCCATTTTTCACTCCCCATAAAGCATAAGTACTTGAAAAAATTATGTTGTTTGTTCATTGTTTTGGTCTTCTTTGGAAAAAAAAAGGAAACTTTGGTCCAAGAAGGGAGCATTATTTTATCAGTGCCAACAATCAGCAAAATCGATCCAACACAACCACCCTAGATTTTTAGCAAGAGTGGCAGATACTTGGACTAAATACGTATGAACAAGAAACTGAAAGAGAGAGAGAGCAGACATATCCTCGGTCCTCACTCATTTATTGAGCACCAGGCTTTATCCCCAATAATGATATATTGAAAGAAGAAAGCTCAGAGTCCAAAAAAATTGTCAGATGTTTCCTATATTCACGTTGGCTGCCGGGATAAACCCGCTGTGTCAGGCGCTAACTTAGCAAATGGAATAAAATAACCATGATCCCAAGGGACATTCTTTTTTAAGCTAAAGCTGGCCATTATCTCCTAATTAAATGATATTTTTTAGTGCTTGCCAACATATTATTATTATTGATTATTTCACGTAGAAGCTACACTTCCAACTAGACTACACATGGAAACAATGACCATTAAGAACAATATGGTACGACTATCTATACTCAACATAAAAAAAAAGCTCGACAGAAAGAAAGGGTTACCAGGAGACTAGAAATGGAGCCGAAGCCAATGGTTAGGAAACGACCCAGATATGTATCAGCGACGAAAGCACCCAAAATAGGGGTGAAATTGGTAGCAGCTTGCCAGAAAAACAGAATATTGGTGCCTTTAGCAACTCCCATGTGATAATATCTGATCAGGTACAGTATCATGTTGGGAATCAGCCCATAGCCTGCCACCTTCTCAAATGATTCATTGGCTTCATTTCGAAAAAAAACGAAGTGAGACTCTCATCATTTAGGTGTTTCAAAATCACCCAGAAAAACTCTTCAAGTTCGAACACTGAAGTACAACTATTCGATAAGGGGATCAGTTTTTTGCACTAACCAGAAAAAGAAGGTAAAGCCCAGAAACAAATACCGAAAACTCAAGCTAAAAGGATTCACCAGAAACATGGTAAAGAAGTTCACACAAGCACTTGAGCAACACAATGTACCTATTATGAATGGCATTGTAATAAGGCCACCCTTGTGTCTTTCTTGCATTTCTGGGTTAGAAATTAATCTTTGATCTGAAGACTCTTGCCTTTTGTTATCTGCCATAGCCGAAGTCAGCTAACTTCTCCTTACAGAAGAGGGAAAAAGAACCAAAGCTGGAGAAAACAGATGAAATGAAGTTTTCAAGTTTTGAAGGTCACAAGCTGTGGGTTTTTAAACCGAAAAAAGGAAGAGGTGATTGCGTGTAACATCTGATGAATAAAATCAGAAGGGCACCTTAACCCAAAAATAAAAATAAATAACTGAGGAATAGACATACCATGATCCATACGCCTTTTCTTGCTCGTTACATCAATCTTCAGCTTTCTCTTTATTTATTTATTTTAAAGAAATTCACATTTTTGCTATAAATAAAGTATAAAAATAATGATGACATGGATATGATGCAGCATATTTCACTGTGATAGTATGGTCCACGAATTCTTTCGCTCTACTGGCTCCAATCACATGTCAGAATCACTGTTAGATTTGATAATTCAGCGCAATTTGTTATATGTTTTTTATGCTAATATAAATTATTTATACTGGAAGTTCAATAAACAATTTATAATTGATAATCTTAAATTTTAAGTACAATAAAATGGTAAAATTAAGGGAAATTGATAAAAAAGAAAAATGTAGATGTGATGAAAATATATAGTAACTTGAGATATTTTACACATTAAATGATAAAAATGTCTTCATAAATTATTAATTTTATGAAAATGGTCATCCATTATTGTAAAAAAAATATCGAACAGGATAGAAGGTTACGGACTGGTTTACTAAGACTGGACAATTATAAAGGGCAGGTACAATAGAAATGGGAACCAAAATAAAACAGAAAAAAAGGGAAGAAAACGGGTTTGACAGTAGACGGCTACGTTCTATTAAGACTCGAGTTTAAATATCGGATACGAATTCAATCAGTTGTCTGAAGAATCTCTAAAGATCATAGCGATCACCAACCCAACCCAAATTCAGACCAGAAGTAAAGGATTTGGTTTACGACAATTCACACTGCACGTGGGCGTTTTAATTTGAAACCACTTCTTTTACCTGGTTCGTTTTATTCATTGAGTTCTCGTTTCCTCTTTTTCTTTTGGTTATATACTCCCGATGGCAATAGAAATTAGAAAATAAAGTAGTTTAGTTTGGCATGTTTTACTTGTAGAGACATTGCTTACCCACTGTTCAGTTTTAAAGTATCTGACAGCTCACAGCGTGTGATTAGGGATGGGCATGAAACTCGAATCCGACAGGTTCCGACTCGTTTATTTTTTAAAAACAATTACGTTCAGGTCGGGTTTTTTAAAAATGATGTTCAGGCCGGATTGAGTTCAGGTTTAGGGTGAAAAATATCCGACCTGAAAAAAAGTTATAATTTTACCTTATATATTTATGAATAATTACAATAATAACCCTCTATATGTTATTTTTCTTCAATTAAGTCAATGTTTTTATTTAATAAAAATAATATATTTTTATTATTTCGGGTCGGGTTTGGGTCGGTGAAATCATGTTTTGGTCGGGTCGGGTCTCGGGTAGAGGATTCCTTGTCTCGGGTCGGGTCGGGTGAACCAAAAACTCGACCCATACCCGTCCCTACGTGTAATATTTAGGAAATTTTATATTAAAACCTTAAATAAATAATTATTTAAAGGAGTAGGACCATACAGAAATTATTTGGAAGAATAACTCCCACATCAGACGACCTCGCCGTCAGAAAACCGCATGTTAAATCCTCGCACCCTCCAACACACAAGATATAACCGACGTGGGCGTACTTTCCAGTTAAGCCAATAAAACAATTGGATAAAATGATCTCGCACATTGTGAAGTGTGAGGTAGCCTTTATAATCCAAAATATCGCGAGATTTATGGGGACCTCGCTACATGCAAAGCGTGAGGCTCTTTCGAATTCCATATAGTAGCCTAATTTGAAACGTAAAAATTAAATGAATATAATAAATAAATATAATAATAATAATAATTAATAATATTAATTATTAAATATAATACATAATTAAAATATAATAATATAGTAATTAAAATATATATTTTATAAATATAATTCTAATATAATTTGTAAGTTTTGCAATAATAAAAAATTATATGTGTAAAATATTAAATATAATTAATAATATTATAATTATAGTATATTTTGAAATTTAAAAGATAAAAGTTGGTAGCAATCTCGCATCTTGCAAACCACGAAATACTGAGAACGAAATAAATTTCGTGTATTTTCAACATAACTTGCATCTTTTAGAATGCAGGTTGCATTTAAAACTACGTTTTCCCGGGTACGAGAAGAGCTATCTATAAACAAGGCCCTCCATTTCTATTCATCACCACTCCCATCGCTTTCATATATTCAAAAATTCAAAGATTTCATATTATGGCAATGAGTCAATTAAGACATGATCGAAGTCACGTATTCGATTATTGGAGGCGAAGTGATGTGGTAAATTAATTAATATTATTTTGTATTTTTACTATTTATTTATTTAATTTATTTGTTTTGGTATTTAAATAATTTTTTAATATTTATATTTCGTAAGGATATAAATGTGTATTAGATTGACATATAAATCGTGTGACACCGTCATATGCAGATATTATTGACTATTTACATTTAGCGAGTTCCAGATATATCAATAGTATAGTTGGCGACGGTGTGAAGTTGTATCCTCCACTTATAAATGTGTTGGTGGAAATATGAAGACCGAGGACACACACGTTTCATTTATCGTATGGGGAGACAACTATTACCCTGCATGATGTTACATTTCATCTGGGACTGCCTATTGATGGAGTAACTATTACTAGTGTTGTTAGCGCCCCTAGAAACATATGTGACGTATTGCTCGGAATTAATCCTCCTGATGATACGCGTGATGGTGGGAAAAAAGTTAAATTTTAGGATGAAAATTTTACTAATCTACCCCAGAATACGTAGCATAAAGTGAAAGAGGTAAATATATGTTTTTATCTATAAATATTTATGAATATTTCAATTTATTAATTTAAATTTTTTAAAATTAAGTAGTTATATTATTTTATTATTTTTTTGAATCGATTTGCTCGTGCACATATACTATGAGTTAATGGGGGATTTTAATGCTAGACAAATCCTGAAATAAGGTATAACTTATGTGGTTGAATCATTTGAAAAATTTGAGTGATTCAAGAAATATAAGTTGGGGGTCGGGGGTCTTGGCATTTTTGTGCACGTTCTTTTTTTAAGTCTTCATTTTGTTACTCAAATCATATCCACGTGTTATGGTTGCCACCTGTATTGCTTCAGTTACATAGCTATACGGGTACACAACTGACTACTACAAAGCATGGTATGCAAAGTATCAAGCCCAACAAAAATTGTTCGGCCAATGGGAGGAATCATACAATGAATTGTGGTCATGGCTTAAACTGATGCAGAAACACATTCAGGAAACAATTGTGAAATTAGAAACAGTCCCGGCGTACGAAAATGATCGTGTTGTACAAGGTGTCTGCCAATTCTACCGACTCTTTTAGACTTTTTCGCAATGCATTAATGCATTCTGACACTGCAAGCCGATTGTTCAAATCGACGGCACTTAGTTATATGGTCAATTCACTCAAATTATTCTGACTCTTGGGAATTTTCCTTACGAACTTACAACCATATGTTCTATCACATATGATGCAGGATAGAGATGATGAGATTCGTCTTATTTCTGTCAAATACACACTCCAACGTATGGGCTCGTTTTTCCAACCCCCAATATTTATCACATGCAGTATTTACAACATATTACCGCAAACTATTTGTAAAAGATCAAAAGTTAAAATGAGCTTTTAATGGTGTTCGAATAGGTACGAGTTGGGATTTGTGGAAGCTCGAATCGATAATCGAAAGGGTTCGCCAAGAGGGGTCAGGTCGATTTTTGTGTTTAGGGAGTAAGGAAATTGAAAGGTAAAGAATTGCACAGCGATTTATAGTGATTCGACTTCTCAACTAAGTCTACATCTATTACCTTAGTTCCTCACCAAGGATTTTCCAACAAATTCACTAATTTGTTCTTTCTTTTTCAATGACAAATAGATAAACTTTACAACTACAACTCCCTAATTTTTCAATGGCTAAACTAAAATCAATCTCTATCTTTTCACTTGGCAAAGATAGAAACAATCCCCTTTTACAAGGAAAAAAATGTAAACAAGAAAACCTCTCTAAGGTAGGTGTTTACAAAATTTAAGCTCACAAGAACAAAATATTTACAAGAGAAAGGAAAATAAGAATGAAAAACTTTTTCTTTTGTGTTTGATTGCTTGAATAGGTGTTATCTATCTTTTTCAAGTGTCTTGAACTTGTATTTATAGGTTGGAATGAGTTTGAAGTTGTATCTAGCCGTTGTGGATGTTTTAGAGCCGTTGGGGATTCATTTTCTGCAAAATAAAACTGCCCAGAATAAGAGGTATCAATACCCCTTCATAGGGTATTGGTACTACCTTTGTTATATTTGAATTTTATGACCGTTGGGCTTGAAATTACTGTAGCAGTATCGATACCATTATAGAGGTATCATTACCCATTTTACATTCTGTAATTTTTTAACATCGATATTGTTCATTATTGTTCACACAGTATTGGTACTATTCATATAGTATCGATAATATTCATACAGTACAATACTATTCATAAAAACATTATTGTGCTCAATTTCAAATTAAATGGACTTTGAATTATTTTTGTAAACTTTGAAAACTTTGAATAAATTCAATTCAAGTCCAAAAACATTTTGCATAAATTGTTATATCAAAACATAGTTCAACAATCTTCCCCTTTTTGATATAACAAAACATTTGAAAATTTCTTTTTGGCAAAACCCCCTTAATAAAATGATTATTGAAAAAGATACCAATTGTTGGAAAATATATGAAAATGTTAAGGCCCCCCTTTTTTACATTAATAAAATTGAATTTTTCAAACCATATTTCTACCCTCTTTTTGTTATATCAAAAATAATTCAACTTTAAAGTTCTAAAATAACATTGGAGAGTAAGTAGTAAATTTGACTTTAAAAGCATTTGAAAAATCAAAGCTCCCCCTCAATAAGTGCATTTCAAACAAAATTTAGCATTAAAAACTTGACACTTAAACAATATTG